TTAACTTTAATACCACCCATAAATACACTAATATTTCTTTTGACTCACACAGCTTGTATTTATTTTAAATGGCCTGGAAGATCCGATTGTCGTCAGTGATCGATGTATAAGCTCAAGTAAAAATCGGTTTGAAAATACTGATTTTTAAATCTTTCTTAATCGCTTAAATGTTGTGATTACAAAATCTTTCTTCTTTTTTTCTTTTTTTTTTTTTGAAATCGAATTCACTTTAAGCAAGGCAGTAAAGTCACTAAGACACAAGGGGTTACTGGGTGTGAAAGAATTAGAAAACAGAAGCATTATTAAGGAACGAGAACAATAGAAGAGTGATCAGGAAGACAGTAGTTAACGATTGACGTTACATTTAAATTTTCGAAGATCAAAGGTGGCTAAAAAGCATGGAGCCGGGAGCGAGACAAAAAACTGTTAGCATAGAACTTAGTGCTACATCTATCGAATTTAACTATAAATAGGCGAGAACTTGTTTCCAAACTAATACAAAAAAATGTACGAGGCCAAAAGGGGGAATAGGGAGAAAAAAGACATGGTCTTCTTCTGTCTTATAATTAAACTTAGCTAACCACAATCACTAACCCAAACGTACCACAATATTCCTTCCATCAAAACAACACGTTCTTACTTACCATTCTTACTACAGCTACCATAATACCTCAGAGACTCTATGAAGTCCTATCTAGTCACAATATGTACAATTTGTCTGTGAGGAGAAAACTGTTATATTCCGTGCTAATAGGAATGTATACTTCACAAACATGGTGGATGAAAAAAGCAAATGTTTATTGTAAAACCAGTGCAATAAGAAATAAGGTAACAGTTATGCGCACGATCGTCGCAAGTCAATCCAGTAATCCAATGCTACTATTGGGAGGTCAGTAGTTATCGCGTAACTCTGAGTCGGACTCAACAGATCCCAGCTAGTGTATTTACTAACCTCCCAACCTAACATAGGCCGGGTTTAATGTGGGGCATCCGAGCCCGTAAGCTCAGCTAAAAATTCCCGTATACCTCGTATAAATCGGGGTTGGGTAGCTGTTTCTCGGGACGAGACTCTGCCCTTCGACATAGCCTCGTCTGGGGATCCTCTCTGTCCGGAGGCAGAGAGTTTGACCAGCACAGTTGGAACAGATCCCAGCTAGACTCCGTAGTCCGTTGCCTTACGGATACTTATAGTTAGTTAGTTGGGGATAAGAAAAGCTGGTCCTCGTCTGTCTTATAATTAAACTTAGCTAACCACAATCACTAACCCAAACGTACCACAATATTCCTTACACCAAAACAACGCATTCTTACTTACCATTCTTACTAAAGCCACCATAATACCTCAGAATCTCCATGAAGTCCTAACAAGTCCCCATATATACAATTCTTGTCTGTGGATTCATAGTCTAGGTACCATAGCGAAGAGCGATATTCATTTTGTGATGATATTACAAAAATGTGACACAAGGCCAAAAGGGGGAATAGGGAAAAAAGACATGGTCTTCTTCTGTCTTATACTTAAACTTAGCTAGCCACAATCACTAAGCCAAACGTACCACAATATTCCTTACACCAAAAACAACGCATTCTTACTAAAGCCACCATAATACCTCAGAATCTCCATGAAATCCTAACAAGTCTCCATATGTACAATTCATGTCTGTGGATGGGGAGGGGAATAAAACAACAATTTAAAATCTAAACCCCAAGGCGAAGAGCTCATCCAAACAATTAACCCGAAAGTATTTATAGAAAAGGTACATGGAAGCAACTTTACAGGTGGTGGAAAAGTAACTGATGCCGGGACGCCAGGTCAGGACCAAGAATATTGCAGATTCTTCTTTGGATTTCATCGAGAATCCCTAAATATATAGCAGAAGCACATAACATATACTTTAGAAAATATAAGACACCCAGTGAGGATTGAACTCACTGTTCAGTCGTAATCGCCTATCGTCTGGTCCACGCTCCTCCCCAGTCTTTTAAACAGGTTTATCCCTTGTTTCCTATTTAGGATTGGAATTCCGGTTCCTTCTAAAGTCTACTTCACCTCTATACTCCTAACGCTTGTTCTTCCCTATGCTAACATAACTCCACACAGTAAACCTCTACCTTGAGTGGCTCTTGGGCCTTGTATTGGCTGAATATTATTAAAAAAAAAACATTGCAACCCGTCTAAGCGCCCTAGCGATTGATGTATGAACCAAGGTAAAATTCGTTTTTTTTTGTTTTTTTTAAATGCTGACTTTTAAAGTTTTTTTTTTTCCCAAAAAACTGTTGCTACATAATCTTTCTGCCTTCATTCACCTTCATTTTTGGTCTACGCGAGTCTCACTAAAATATCTATTCACTTTTTTAGACGTTCTCATCATTTTTTTTTTCAATTAATGCCTCTTTGTTTTGAGCTGGGATTTATTTGTCTAATTAGTTCTCTTCTTATCTCTTCCCTTGTAGCTGCGTTAAATTAGGAAAAAGTACCGAGAAAATTCTTTTCTTTCAATCGGCGAACAAACATCATTTTGCCGTTTCTCTTCAGTGTCTTTTCTCGCTCTTCTCTAAATCATTTTCTTTCTTTTCCTCGCTCTACTCATCCTACTCTCCTCTCACTTTCCCCCTTCTCCTCCTAATCTTCCTTCTGTTTCCTTTGCAACTGCCATCTCACCCGCCACATCGAAATCAACGCACCTCTCTCTCTCTCTCTCTCTCTCTCTCTCTCTCTCTCACTCGCTCTCTCTCGCTCTCTCTCTCTCTCTCCCGCCTCTCTTCCGTCCCTAATTCAAATCCACTCGAACATTTTAGTTGTGGGTTTATTTAAAAGGTGTCGCCTGTCACGTGACCTGTTAAGTGAGATGAAGAGTTGGTTGGCAGTGTGGGGAAGGAATGACGCTGGGGAGGGTAAACGAAACACCGTGGAAAATTAGCGTTTGATTGCGTCTACTTGACAAGAGAATGAAAACGACATCGCAGCGTGGTGCGTTCATAGCGCGATAGAAATAAGACGAAGGCGGTGTGAGGGAGACGCACCGTGCGGCAGGAGACGCTGCGTCGCATATAAGGCGGGGGAAAAAGAGCCCGATCCCATCAACCAAGTCCCGACAGCCACCACTACTATATCCACACCCTTTCCACCACCACCACTTCCTCTCCTTTATCATTATTTTCATATTTTCGTAGGCCTTTTCACCCCGGCAGCCTTAAATCTCCGCATCCATCCCATCAGCTCCAAGCATCGAGAAGGATGTTCAGTGTACGGCACGTGACCGGAAGTTAAAGTGGGGACAAGAGGCTCTTAAGTCCGAGTGCATAAAATAACGAAGAAAGTTAAAGGCAGTGCTAAAAGAAGCGGACATTTCTACTGTCATGGCTGCTGGGCTGTATGTCCCAAGGCGAACGCTTGACGATTTCTCGGATTGTCGCATATGAATGCCATGTTTCTCTTCTTTGTTTTTTTGTTTTGTTTTTTTTTCTTCTGCTTCTATTACAAGTTTTTTTTCTATGTTCTTCCTTTTTCCTTCTCTCTATATCTCATTCTGAATTCATTTGATGCACCTGTTTTCCGTTGCTAAATTAAACTCTAGCTATAATCGTAGTTTAATTCTTAGGTTGAGCCCCCAGATCTTATCCTTGAGCAAAACTTCTGATTCAAGATACAATTTCAACACACAATCGATAACCGGCAGATACAGTTGTCTCATAATCATAATTTATTTCTCGATACTCTTTCTTAATTTCGCTTTTTTCATCCGAGTTAACAGTATGTTTTTTTTTCTTTTCGCCATATTTCTTTTTCTGGGCTTACGGCCATATATCGAAGTTAAGCAACGTCGAGACTACTCAGTACATAGATGCAACCTCTTAAATTTATATTATTCCTTGGTCTACCCTGACTTGGGGGTATAGTACCTGTTAGGGTCCCAGCTATAAGCAAATAGTGAACCACCCACCAAAAAAACAAAATATTATGAAAATATAAAAAATACATTTTTATAGTAAAATTACCAACAATACCTATTTATAGTAAAATGATCAGAAATACATTTTTAAAGCAAAATTGACCAACAGTACATTTTATCTGTAGTCGAAGACATACAATTGCGTTCAAAATATACAGGATGACCCCAAAAAAACGGGAATTTTTTAAGCGCGTATTGCCAGACATGAGCAAGTGGCAACACTGCGAGACAGTGACCTTGAGCAAGTAAACATTTCGCCATTTAGAATTCAAGATGAAATTCACAGTATGTTGCAGCAGTCAATGAGGAATTTCAACAGCAGATTTCAAGAATGCATTGGTACAGGAGGACGCCATCTACAGGACTTAATTTTAAAAAATGAAAATTCCATCATTGTTTCTTAAATGGCGTGTTTTAAGGTTTCAATTACTATGAATAAAATATTTTTCTTCCATCACTCTTGGTTTTATTGGATTGTTAAAAAGTTCCCTTTTTGGGGGTCACCCTATATTTAATTGAAGTCATAAAACTGTGTTCAAAATATTTAGATTTCGGCATTAAATAACCCATAGACGCCGACATGCCGCTAAACAAAATCAACCAGCCAAAACTAGCTGGACGGCCTCTTGGGCATACCAAGTGCTGTAAGCTTGATTATGTTGCTGGTGTAATGAATGACGGCTCGGAATGCGAAATCGGAAAGCTAAATTCGAATTCCAGTGGAGTTTGTTACATTCACTTACGCGCAAAAACCATTGGTATGAATCCATCTCTTCTCCCACAACTATGGGTTAAATAGTAGGATTTTTATTTGAAAGTCCTTATTATCTCAAAGAAATTATTAATACATTAAAAAATAACTCGCAGAAAAATGAGAATTATTTTCACAATCCAAAAATGTTTCGGCTTTAAATAACCTACAAAAAGTTGATAAGCCGTAAAAAAAGAATTTATCAATCATTCGCTTTTTCGTCTTTCTCACCCTTTTCTTCTCTCTTATTCACGTATCTTCACATTTTCTGTCTCTCCATCTTCCTCTTTTTCCATATGTTTCTTCTCCCCTCTTTCACATTTGTTATACCTCATCGCGTCCTCTTTCTCTCATTCTCTCTCTATCCTATTATTCGTTTTCTTCGTCCTTTTCTTTTCCCCGTATTTGTCATGCTCCCTCACCTTCTCTCTCTCTCTCTCTCTCTCTCTCTCTCTCTCTCTCTCTATCTATCTATCTATCTATCTATCTATCTCTTTCTCTCTCTCTGTCTTTTCTTCTCTTTTTCCTTTTCCTCTGCTTCATTCTCTTCTCACACTTTCGATATGCTTCGTTGTTTCCTCTTTCTCTTCGCCAACGTATTGGTTCTCCTCATTCTTATCTCCCCCGCCACCCTGGCTATCGTCCATGTTTTTCTTCGCTTTCTCTCTTCCTTCTATTGTCTTTTTTCATTTTCCCCTCTTTTTCTCCTCCCCACACACACATTCGTTTATACCGCTTGGTCCTCTCTGTCTCTTCAGCCTCTTTTTCGTTTACAACGTTCTTTTCTACTCACGCTTTCAGCCATTTATTATATATTCAGTTTTTTTCCAAACCCCATATCTGTCCAGTTTGTGTCCGAAACGTAAACAATTTATTTAAATTTGCATGTGCATGTTTATATGTATGAGGAAAATTAATGACAAAGTGGAAAAAAATTGTGCCATGTTTCGTCCTTTAGAAATTAATAATTAATTAATCAGATTAAAGTAATGTTTCTATCGATGCGCACCAAAGGAAGTGGACACTGAAATTTTGAATTTATTAATTTAATTTCTTTTTTTAATATGTGTCTGGGTATATATGTTGCTATCACTTTTGTTCCTAAGTATACCACATTGTGTTAATAGAAGATCTGAAAAGAAGGGCAAAATACTGTAAGAACCTGGACAAAAATGTACTGTGGATTATCTACCGATTATACATTTCTATACACTTTAGTCTTTGGAAATTGCTTTATCTCTGAATTAAACTATCATTTCTTAAATCGTAATTATTATCAGACTCATTACGTAATTGATTGCTTGATGCGCTTTCTAAGGCTTATCGACCCATTGCAAGTTATTTAAAGTGATATTTCTTTTATATATTGTAAGAGTCAGAGGAGAGAGATAATATTGATTTAGTGAAAAAAGTCCTACTAATTAGCCCATAGCTGGGAGGAGAAAAGGTGAGTTCATACCTTTCCAAAAGATGTGTATATAACGAGCCCAACTGGAATTGAAACTCGGCTTTCCGATTAACAATTCCATTACACCACACGCACATCTAAGCTTACAGCACCTGGTATTCCCAAGCGGTCACCTATCTATGTACTGAGCAGAATCAACGTGTCGTAACTTCGGTGATCGTACGGGAACCAATATTTCAACGTAATGTGGCCGCAAACGCAGACACATTACGGTGAGCAACTAATGCATTTAATGTGTTGTTTTCTAAAAGATCCCTTTTTTCTTTTATTTAGATTTTATTTAAATTCCTCGAGGTCTCTCCTGTGTATTCCTTGTGGCAGTTATTATATATCATCTTCTCCCATGTACATGTATATAAAAAAGGGTTTTGCGAATTTTTTTCAGTTATATGCTATGCGTAATACACGCATAGGCGATCATATATCTTTCGATACATGACTGACGAGGCAATTTTTTCCCGCAGTAGGTTGCCATTTTTTCTACGGTTGCCATCCAAAGCTATAGAACCCGGTCTGTCTTGCTATCTACTCATGGGAAAAGAAGAGGAGGAGTCATACCTTTCCCAAGGGTATTAGCACATAAGTGAATGTGATAGATTCGACTGGAATTCGGACTCGGCTCTCCGATTCCTCAAACCGAGCCGCTAACCATTACTCCACCGAAACCCACTTTAAAAACAAACTGATTATGTGGTGGGTGCGCTGGTAAAAAGCTGCTTTTTTTTTTCTTTTTTTTTTTTAAATTAACATTTTCAGAAAATGATAAAGCTTCGTGGCACGATATAACACTCTGGTGCTGAAATATCATTAAATACAAGCAAAAATCCAAGCCTTTATTTAAACTCGTAAAGGAACTTATCGAAATTTAATATGAAGATCCAAGTATCTTTGACTTACTTTGTGTGTTTGCATGGAAATAAAAAAAAAAAGTCCGGAAATTATGAGTATGGTGTTTGTATCGTTTTCAGTTTAATGTTTGAAATGAACCTGGGTTCACGTGCTGTAACTATCAAATAAATATTGTATAGATACCTCCATTAAATCGCGCTTTTTCGCTGAGAAAAAAAAAAACAGCATAGCATGATGAAAAAAAAGACCCAAATTTAATAAAAACAAAGTTTATCGTCAAAACATTTATGTTATTATTAAGAGGAAAGACCAAAGTATTTTTTTATAATTTTTTTAATGTTTTTAATCTTTTCTAGCAAGTTCGAAATTTTGGTTATTTTTTTTTTTTTACGTCAGCGGTCGACGTAACATTACCACGAGTGATTTCGCACCTTTTTTCAGGTAAAAAACACATTAATTTGGAAACTCTTGCAAAAATCAAATAATTATCCGATTTTAATAAAACGTTCAGGACTTATTTATAAATGAATGAAATTAATTTTGAATTTTTTTTTTTTTTGGAAAATCTTGGTAAAATTTTATTTTTTCATAAGTTACCTCCCACTTCACTTCATGAAATTTCAAGAAATTAAATTTCAATCTCAAAATTTGTTTTATTAGTTGAAAGTAGAAGTCCTTAGAAAATATTAATCATCAATTTTTGTTTTTTGTAAAACAGGACACACAGTTACCTAAAATCTGCTCTGAATCTTAAAATAAAAAATAAAAAATGCAATAAAAGAATGACATTATTTAATTAGAAAAGCTTTTAATTGCTTCTATAAGTAAGTTTTACTAAGGACACTATTGTCTTAAGAAAAAAATTATTTTTCGATGAATAATGAAGTTTTACAAGAATTGATTTAATTTTTTTAAAATTTTAATTAAAATAAATTATAATATTATAAATTGTTTAAAACTCTGAATTACTTCAATCTGGTTAGGTAATATTGTTATTAAATGTAAACTATATTTACGAATCAAAAATTGAAAATCTCAATCAAAGTTGCTTACACCTAATATTCTTTTAATTTTTTTATGCATACAAAATATTACGGGACGTGCCCATGTTTGAAAGTATGGCGACCATACACAACATAATCAGAAAATAAGTGCGATGACTACAGTAAATTTAAATTCAACATTCCTAGAATTACATTACAGAGAATATTTTCCAACATTTTTAAGATTGCACTGTATATTTAATATAAAATAGCGTCCATCCATCATTTTCTGAAATTATCTTTTAACAGATAAAAATCTCCAAATAAAAAAGGTAAAGGTGTTTACAAAATCTCTGAGTGACAAGCGACGATGACAAACGCGTAATCACCGCTATTGTTTGTTTTAAAAATCCTTTTCTCTGTTATTTAAAACTTAAAGTAAATAATATTTTTTCAAATCTGATTAATTACACTTTAAGTCAGCTAATATTTCTCAAATGAAGTTTCAGAAAAGTACATTTTATTTTTGGAAGATTTTTAAAACCAAGAATTAACTTTTGTTTGCAAGTGTGTCAAAAATGGCCGATTTTGTGAAAGCGACCAAAAAGTAAAGATTCCAATCAATATAATTTCTATTTGAAATGCACCAAAGTATTTTGCTTACTGAAAATAGTAAATTTAATCATTTAGCTTTCAATAAAAGATTAAATGAAAGTTTCAAGAATGCTTTTTCATTATTAAAAATTTATTTTAAACCTTAGGTATCGAAAGTTAGTGGAGGTATTTAATATTCTATTATGCTTTTAAAATGCGTAATCTTTGACGTCTACCGGCTTCTGCAGTCGAAAATTTTAATAAAGGAATTATAACTTTCTGTAGGGATCGAACCCAAGTTCAATTATATTGAAACTTTAAAATAGATGTGTTAAAGTGCGGCTTTTAAGCTAGTATATAATAAAACTGCGTTTCACGCTAAGCGATAGTCAGACAAGAATCGTCTTTATATCATAAAATATAATTTTTGTGTGAGAAAAGTTCCCAATATCAGGGACAGAGGTTATATAGCTATAAAGTGTCGACATTGGTGCTAACGTGGATGGTGACAGTCTGTTTCATGCTTAAACCTAATCCTCAGGCCTGAAACTGACTGCCGCCGTCCAGTGTTAATACCTATGTCCAACCTATATATAGTTTCCCTGTCCGGCATTTCTACCGAAACGCACATTTCAAATACTGATATTAAAAGGCTGCTAACTCTCTCAGATTGGAAAATTAACGTGAAACACTTTTTATCCAGTCACTCCTATCCTTTGCCAGACTAAGTCGCGGAAATAGACATATCTTCTTGCATGTGCCCTGTCCCTTCCGGGTGTCCCTTCATGCTGCCCCAAAATCTCTTGTCCTTTGAACTTCTTAATAAATTTTGTGTTTTTCTTATCTCTCCTAAACCTTGTTCCGCTGCCCATGTACTCAATCTCGTTAGATATTTTATGCATTGATTATTCCCATCTGTCTCTCTAGTCTTCAATCTGTTCTGTGAGTAAAAAAATTTTCCAAGACATCTTTCCTCATAAATTGCGCTATAAATTTCAACTGTCTTTCCCTGATATTAAATATAAGTGTTCTTTTCGTTTACATTTTCTCTATAGTCGTTGCTCACATGTTCGATCCATGGTATTTTCAGCATCTTTCTATAGAACGACATTTCGCTTCAGTTCTATCTTTCATCTGTGAGTAGATTGTCCAGCATTCAATGCCATATAGGAGGACTGATATTACATAGCAGTTCAGTACTCTTTCCTTTGTTTGTAACGAATTTTTTCTGTTTCTTAATACTTAGCTTTTGGAAGGCACCTTCGAATTTCAGTACTAACCAAAATTTCACATTAAATGATTTTGCGCGCGTAAACTAAAATCCCTACAAATTTTTGGCACTATTCACTGTAAAAAATAGCCTATGTAAGTATGTTTACAAACATAAGGTAAATGATTATTCGTGTACGAATGTTTTATAATATTTCACGTATACTACACTGTACATCTATCAAGACAGAAATTTATAATGCTATGATGAATAATGCTTTTTAAGAATATTAGTCAGTTGACTTTAACTACAAATGAAACAATTTGAGCTCCCGTTTGAATGCTTTACGACTTCTTTTATGCAATATCCTTGTTTAAGATTTCACTAAATACATGCGCGTGTGTGTGTGTCTGTCATCTCTTCTCTACAGATATTCATCAGAGTCTTATGCTGACGCGCGTTTGAACGTGCGCATGCGTCAATGTTTTAAGTCACTGCAATCAGCATCGACCAATCAGAATATAATTGAATTTACATAAGGATTTCACAGCAACATCCATTCATGTTGCACATCCGGATCTTTCAAGCTGTCAGGCCGGGTGAATATAATACGACTGCGCATGTCAGCCACGCCGGAAATGAGCGGAACTCCATCTTTTGGTCAGAGTTATGCATGACATGACGTGACATGCTCTCACCGCAGGATTTGACGGTGATGTGGGGTTTCGACGAAGCATAGGGAAAAAAGGCCGTTCAAATTAAGATTGAATAAAATGTAATAAAAAGAAGAGGAGAGTAGCAAACGGTAAAAAAAATTCAGCTAATATTCGTTTGGAACGTAGGCAAGGAATAACGTTTATCACTCGCAATATATATATATATATATATATATATATATATATATATATATATATATATTTTTCTGGATGTATATGTATATATATGGGGGATAGGCAGGAGAGAGGAGGGTGCTACTCAAAACTTAAGTGAATTTAACAGAGAAAAAATAATTACATTCTACTTATACTTTCAGTTAAAGATAAGGTTTTTCCTACCGCTCGCAATTCTATACATTATATACGAAGACTTATCAAAAAGTATCTGGACTGATGCTATAAAAATAAAACTACTAAATATATTAATTCGACATTCAATCTCCTTCAAAGTAATTCCCATCTGAAGCTACGCACTTTATCCAATGATCTTTCTATTGATGGAAGTATTCCTGGAACTCCTCTTTTGTGATAGCGACCTGCTGCCCGTCACATTCTCCGGGGTTTCTTCGACACCATTAAATCTTCTTCCTTTCAAGTGGGATTTGATTTTGAAAGAGGAAAAAAAGTCGCAAGGGACGAGATCTGGAGAATATAGTGGACGTCAGACGTGGTGAATGTTGGCCTTGTCCAAAAACTGCTGCATTAACATTACCCTTTCCATTAACACTTGTGCGTTTTCTCTTTCCAAGTTATTTTAATTTTTCGTCTTTCCCATTGATAGGCTGTAGCTGTAATACCCGTTCATTATATAAGCTAAGCATATTCATAAGCTGCTTTTCATTAAACCTGTTCTTTACTAAATGCTTTCTAACCAATCGTCGTTTCAGACACGCACATTTCTTGTAACGGTTAGCACATCGATACCAATAGAACAGTCTACAGTTACAGATTTCGCTCAGTTGAACTTGTAAACACCTTGTGTAGAGTAATTGGCCGTGGTTTAATATAAGTGGCAGAAATGCCCAACAAACAGAAATATACATAAAGAAAAGAACAAAAAGGACAGGACAAAAACAATATTAAGCAAGCAATATATAAAAGGTAAAAGTAGACAACAATTTCAGAAATTAAGAATAGTGGTAACCCACAAAAGGGATACAGACAAATGATTGCAGCTTTCTCATTTCAAAACAAGAAAGAACAGAAATATTGTATGAGACCGAGAAGCGGCCTATCTTATTGACTAGGAAGTAATCCCAGCATGCATCTGTATGTTTTGTTTGTAAATTTGAGGAGTGTGATGTTTTTTGCAGTCTTTCCACCAAAGATTGGAGCCAACAATTTTCTTACGCTAGGTCATACTGAAACGGTTTTAGCGACAAGTAGGTTTTCAAGGTTGAAGCTTCTAGCTCCACTCACAATCAGTTTTTAATTCAGCGTTGTTGTTCTCTTAGAATGGTCGCCAACCGTGATTCGATAGCCTAGTCTGCTCTGTTATTTATCCCATAGCTGATGGGGAGATGTGTATTCATAACTTTACCAAATTTATCCGTGCGAAAATGAATGCAACGGCCCCGGCTGAAATTTGGCTTCAATCTGCCAATCCCATTTTCCAAATCGATAATCGCTTCGCTACGCGCAGATCAAGTTATAGCTTGTAAGACTAAATTCAGCTAAGGCTCTTTTACCTGAACATCTACTTGGATTCAAGTTCGCCCGAGACCTCATAGAACGCCTATAAATCAAAAATTATTCGCACTTTCACAATAACTTATCTTTAGGTTTTTCACACTGCCTTCCGCTCATGCGTGCTTATAGTTGGTACTATTATGATCATGTGATCGAAGTTTGAGTTGTCTTCTTGCTGCTGTTACAGTACAAACATGGCCGCTCCGCTATCAGTGTGCACCAAGGAGGGAAAAAAAGAGCAGTGATACGAATCTGCAGAGAACATGCTATCTAATCGCCGGTTCATCATTACCATCTCTCGAGCTTGCTAAATGTCATCAGTGGTAGAGGTTGACGGGTGTCCTGCTCCTTCTTCTTACGTCACTTTTATACGGCCACTTTTTAACTTTTCTATCAACTCATACACACTTCTACGCGGTAGTGCATTGTCGCCGTATTATGTAAAAAAAAAACTGATAAAATTCAGCCCCTGACACAACTTCCGACCAGAGAAATCGGATCACTGCTCTTTTTTCCTCCTTGGTGCATACTTCTAGCGGAGCTGCCATGTTTACACTGTAACAGCAAGACAACTGGCGTGATCCAGCTCAAACTTCGATAACGTGACCACAATAGTCACTACCCAATCATCACTTTCCATCCTTGAGTTCAAAAGAGGAAACGAAAACTCCGTGGTGTAAGTGACGCATTTTCTACCCTACATCCTCTTTCCCCAAAGACGCAAAGCCGTAGACTCCTATACTTGTATAGTAAATCTTCAGACGAGCGATATTCCTTAATTCCAATAGTTGGGATCTTTGCAACTAGGAACTGCCACGCCATTTACAAAGGTTCGTATCATCATCATCTTGTCGTATTCCATTAGGAAGTAGGAATATCCACTTTAATGATTTTACCGCAGAAGGTTGCTGTTTCTTTCTACGCTAGACATGTTGCCAACCAAGGCTATAGAACCCAGTCTGTTTTGCTATTCAACCTACAACAGAAGAGAGGGAGAAGAAATGATTCATACCTTTCCCAAGGGTATTTGTGGGCACCTCGAGGTGGTGTAATGGCTAGCAAGCTTGTCTCGCTAGAACAATTACGATTGAGTAGTGAGTTCGATCTTCACTGGGTACCCCCTACTTTCGGCCTTGTGCCACATCTAAGCTACGCTTGGAAAATCACTATATATTCCAGAGGGTATTTGCGCATAAGTAAATGTAACGAACCTGACAGGAATTCGAACTCGGCTCTCCGAGCCAATATCCGTTACACCAGAACACACCACCGACTACACAATGGAAGTGTATCGTCAAAACAGAAATTTCTCCTCTGTTTCTTTCTTTCTTTCTTTTTTCTATCTTTTTATTCTATTAATAATAACTGCTCCATAATGAATAAATGACTTGTCAAAGATCGGAAATGAGAAAATATAATGAAAAATAAATTAGCACCTACGAAAACAAGAACAATGTTCAAGGAATACAGGTCTTATTTTCTATTGCCGTCTTAATGTTACATTGATTCATTTCATGAAATTTCGTTTCGGCTTTGTTTCGTTCCGTTTGACAGGTCGTGTCCGAACCCATATCCCACACCTTAATACATTTTAATTTTTCTTCCTATGAATGCTTTATCATCTACACAAATCCTTTACCCATATCTTTGTTTCTTTTCATTCTTCCTTTCTTTCTTTAATTTTATCGTTTCTTATTTTAATTTTCTATTTCATTTTTTTTCTCATTTCTTTTTTTAAAATTACCCCTTTTCTGTTTGCAGTTCTTTTTTTTTAGACGATTTTTTTTCAAACATTTTTCTTCTTTATATAAGTTTCTTTCTTTTCCCCTTTTCGCTTTCTTCTCTTCTTCCTTATTTCCATTTTCCTCTCTCTTCCTCTTTTCGTTTCTTTCATTTTATTTCCGTTCCCTTCTATTCCTTCTTTGCTTTTCCTTCATTTTTTTTTTTTTACTTTTTCTCTTTCTTTCTAATTTCCTTTTGTTCTCTTTAACTTTTTATATCATTTTTCTTCTTTCTTCCTCATTTCCTCCTTCTCGTTTTCTTTCCTTTTGTATCTCTTTCTTCTTTACTTTTTCTTCTTTTTTTAATCCTTTTTTTATCTTTTTTTTTATTTTCATTCTCTTTCTTTTTATCTTTTTTTTATTTTCCTTCTATTTCTTTTCCCATTTTCTTTATTTTTCTTCTTCTTTTTTTTCATTCTTTCTTATTTCCCTTCCTCTATTTTCTGTTTCTTCTTTTGTTCTCATTTCCTTTTATTCTCCTTTTCTTTCTCATTTCCGTCTCTTTAATGGTTTCTTTTTTTTTTTCGCCTATATCTACCTTTCATTTTCATTATTATTTCTTTTCATTTTTTTTCTCTTTTTCTCGCTTATTTCCATCTCTTCTTCTTTATTTTTTTCTTTATCTCTTGTCTGTCAGATTGTAGACATCTTCTCGCATCTCTGTAGATTCCTTGATATCTCCTTCATTCTCAATGTCTTAACATCTTTTCCGTCATTCTCTTCATTCATTTCTTAGTCTTTCTTTTCTCTTCCTGTCTACTTGCCTCTTTCTTTCTCTTTTACTCTCCCTACCTTTCTACGGTAATTTCTATCGTTTCTTTGTTTTCCTCCCACTTCACGAAATCGCTTTTCAACCGCTTCATAACACTAGACAATGAAGAAAAGGTTGAAACTTCCTCTTGACTTCTATAATCTCGTTTTACCAGGCCTCGAGATTCGACTAAAATGTCTGTTTATAATATATACATATTGTTTGCTTGGGCCTTTCTTTCTCTTCATCATGTCTCATTTCTCCCTCTTTCTTTTCTTACTCTTTCTTTCTTTTCTTTTTCTTTCTTTATTTTCTCTTCTTTATTCTATTTCATTTGCTTCTGCTTTTATCCTTTCGTTCTTTTTAAATAAAAAAAAATTAAAAGTCAAGCACGACGGATGTTCGATGACCTTGGCCCGTAAGGTTTTTTGACAACTGCGACCCGTCCAAGCCACTCCAAAATTACCCGTATCTAAAAATAATTAGTTGGGTCATGTTAACATTGGAAAAAGACGATGAAACGATGGCGCCTAGAACGATCGAGAGCCAATGGCGACAAAAATTTCTACCGCCCAGTTTATTTTTCTTTTCTCGTTAGAGAAACAGCCATGATAATAATAATCACCTAAATTGTAAGATTAATAATAATCACCTAAATTTATATATATATATATATATATATATATATATATATATATATAATGGACACTGAGATCAACACCAAGCAACGACGATCCGATTCATACTTGAACAAAAACCATCATGGCGTGAAGATGGAGATGATTCATGGAACAGACTGTCGTCACTTGTTGTTGACATCAGTGCCAACTTTAATACTTACATATGCTCTATCTCTTATACTGACCACTTTTATCCATAAATATTGCATACCTTAAAACTATATATATATATATATGTATATATATATATATATATATATATAATAAAAGCTAATGTCAGTGTGTCACATTTTTTCAATTAAAGGGACACAACATTCAATAGCTCAACTCTTCTGTATAATAAATATCAAGGTCAGTGTTTCACACTATACGATTATTAACTACGAACACGGCCATGTATGTATGTATATATGATAAGATCTGACCATTCTGTCGGGTTCTTATTTGATCCCAATTTATATATATATATATATATATATATATATATATATATATATATATAGTTGGATTGATATGAGATTGTGAGCATGGATTTCACGCTTTTGTTGGTGATCGTAAATAGCATGAAACCCAGGGTCACAAACTCACATCAATCCAACTAAATCTGTTAGCTTTATCGCTCATATTGAGCGCTTTCCAATATGTACCGCGCATATATATATAAATAATATATATAAAATTATATATATTATAAATTTGTATACATATACATTTTACATATCTCTCTGTCTGTTTCTCTGTCTCTGTCTCTGTCTCTCTCTGTCTCTGTCTCTCTCTGTCTCTCTCTCTCTCTCTCTCTCTCTCTCTATATATATATATATATATATATATATATATATATATATATATATATATACAATGAGAGCCACCATGTACAAGATAAGCAACCCCTGAAGATGGTCTCAGCTGTGATTGAAAATACTTGTAAAAAAGAAATTATTTGAATGGAAAATTTTTGAATTTTTCATGATCAATTTTCTCAATCCACCAAGAAATTAATTAATAATACATCCAAATCATTTAACCAAACATGCTTGAATGAAAATGTGCTGCCTATATATATATATATATATATATATATATATATATATATATATATATATATAAACAAAGTGTGAATATTTTATGATTGAGTGTTTCTGTAAAGGGAAAAAAAATATATATATATATATATATATATATATACAAAAGCGAGTATATTTCCTGAATTATGACACTTTATGTCCCCCACATCTTATGACTGACCTTTCAACCACCTGATGAACATTCATGAACGTTCTCAAATTTAAAAGTTTTGATAAACTAATGACATCCTCACTTTTGTATTTAAACACGTGCAAGAAAATAGATCCTACATTGCCTTGATAAAGGCTGTCAGAGGAGGAAACGCGTCGGTTTACATTCATAAAAACAATACGCTAGAATTAGCTGCTTTTCTCTGCTGAGTGATAATGTCTTAATGGTAGAAACTCTGTCTGACACCAAATCGGTCGGATTTCGGTCCTTTCTTGAGACATTCGGATATCTAGTCACGCTGAGGAACTGTGATATAGCGAATCAGTACTGTCGACGAATGAGTTTCGTAATAAATTTTGTAAACCTAACCTTTTCTGTTTATAAATACATGTTGCAAAATACATCAGAGGACGAAATGCGTTGGTAAATAGAGTTCCTTTTGTTTTTTTATATTGTCTTTTTATATAGGTATATTTTTTATTTATATCTGAATTTTTACACGCGCGGGCACACACACACACACACACACACACATATATATATATATATATATATATATATATATAGTTAAATTCTCAGATCAAATCTGTGGAGAAGAATTGTCGTCATGGAAAAAAAATCTCTTACTATAAAGGTAATTTACATTAACCAGAAAAAAAAAGCTTAGACAGATGCGTCTATCTTTTTAAATTTGGATATTTTAATGTAACTATAACAACAAAAACATTTCGATTTCATTTTTGCCTTGAAAAAGTCGGAAGACGAAACGCGTCGGCAAAATTTAAGATTTTTTTTCCAATTGTCATCATATATATATATATATATATATATATATATATATATATACGCAGTGTTTGTGGAAGGGTCACATGACACCTCCTGTATCTATATGTGACCACCACACTATGATATCTCAATTTTCATAAGGTACTATACACATTTTATTGTAACCTAATTAGATACAATAATGGATCATATGCAATTTAGGTGAACAATTCAACTACAAAAATTGAAAAGAAATACAATATATCTAAATACAAATTAGAGACATGTCATAATAGATCATTCTATCTTAAATAATTCAATAATAATTTTCCGTAATTTTTAACATCAATTGAATTTTTTTTTTAATTTTACCATTATGGTTTTAAAAAAAGTGGATTTTATATTGTGTTTACGAGTTTTAGCATGAGAAAAACAATATCAGTAATTTTGATAAAAATCGAAAAACAAATCCAGAATCACGACAAAATCAGCAAAAAATTTATATCGTTTAAAAGTCAATTGTGCTTAGTTTAATTTGTAAGGTATACAAATGTAGGTAGATTAAAGCAAATGTTGATAAGATAGACATGGGCACCAGCCAGGATTGCTTCCTGGTAGAGAAGGTTCGGAAGTAGTACGCACCTTATATATATATGGTATGTCCACTATTTCGGCAAAATTTTCTATATTGAAGTTTAAAATGAATTTTTTACAATGAAAAACATTCTTGAAGATTTCATTTTAGCTTTAATTGAAAGTTTAATAACTAAATTTACGATTTCTATTAATTAAACAATTCTGGTGTATTTCAGATAGAAACTATATACATTTGATTGTCAAATTTAATTTCAAATTTTAAATTTTCTTAAAACGGCCATTTTCTTAATTTTAAGAAATTTGTAAACAAACACAAATTTATCGATTTTAAAATATTTAAAAAAAATTCTGACACGTTATTTTAGTAAAATTAAAAATTTAAAGTTAAAGTAATCTGATTTCAAAGAAATCTTTGTTACTTATAGCATAAAAAAAATATATCTAGCAATTATTTAATAGCGGTCCTGTTCATCTGTTCGATCTTATTGATACTGGTTGATTGACGAGCCGATAACAGCTACTACTTGACCATAAATGACATAATTTTTAAGTCTGAGTTTTTAAAAATTATTCTATTTTAGTATGACACACACTAATGGAAATACAATACATAAAATTTATTTAGTGAAATAGTAAATGAAAAAAAAAAAATTTTAAAATTTAAAGTTTACACTTTTAATCGGAAAAAACAATCTGTTAATAAACGAAATGTTTTGAAAAAAGCCACGTAAAGGGACAAAACCCTTTTTTATAATAATGGCAATTTTGTATATCATACATGGAAATAAGGAATGTTTACAACATAAAAAATTATTTTTAAAAAAGTAGCAATTTATTAAACTTAGCAAATTTGGATTCGTAAATTTTTTTCTACTTAATTACTACATAATATTGAGGGGCCCTCCTAATACAGAGCTTTACGCGATGTTAAACTATTATAAATTATTATAATTAAAACTTCTTAAAAACGAAAAAAATTCTTGTAAAAATTAATTATTCATCAAAAAAATTATTTCTTTCAGAACAATAATGTCCTTAATATTACTTATTTACAAAAGCAATTAAAAGCTTTTCTAATTAAGTAATATCATAGTTTTATTGGATTCATTATTTTTCAACTCAGACAAGATTTTCAGTTAAGTAGCTCAAATTTGTGAAAGAAAAGTTTATTTACCATCTCCAAAGATTCCTTCTTTAACAAAAAAATAAAATGAGGAGCCAAAAGGTTTTGGGCGAAATTTCATGAAATTAACTAAGTGTAACATATTTAAAAAAAAAAATATTTTTTTACCAAAATTTTCTAAAAACAAAATATTTGAAAAATAATTTCATTCATTTCTGAATAAGTCCTGAAAATTTCATTAAGATTGGACAATTATTCTATTTTTTACAAAATTTCCAAATCAATATATTTTCAACGGTAAAAAACGCAAAAAAAAAACTATGTTATTTTAAAGGTCGCCGCGATGACGTAAACAAAGACGACTTTAACCAAAATTTCGAACGTGTTAGAAAATATTAAAAATTTCAAAAAATAATTAAAAAATACTTTTTTCTTTCATCTTAATAATAACATAAGCATTTTGACGATAATACTTTATTTTCTTGAAGTTTATTTTTCATTTACGCTATGCTGTTTTTCCATGAAAACAGTGGACATACTTATATATATAAATATATATATATATTAATCTATATTTAGGCAGCAACATTTCTTTTAAACATGTTTCATTAAATATGACAAACAATGAAAATTTTATTAATTTTGTATTTCGTTTTTGCAGCGTTCTTACATTTTTTTTCCTTTTGATGAGACTGAGGGAGTACAAAAACTGTCCATACCGTCGTTTTTTTCATGTTTTGACTGTGTGAAA